CCGCCGGCCTCGCGTCTCCCTGCTCTGGATGAGGTCTCGGGCTGCCAGAGAGGGGCCGGCGCGGGGCGGGGTCTCCCCGTCCCCCTGAACCCCCGGTCCCTCCGCGCCCCTCACTGCCCCTCCGAGCCGGGGTCCAGCAGATCTGAGCCAGGGTGGACCCAAGGGAGGCGTCCGAGGTGCTTCTGTTAGAGCCGGAAGAGAGTTTTTCAGACTTGGTCCCTGCGTCCCGGGGGGTCAGAGGGTCCGTCGGCCGCGGGCAGGGGCCAAGGCGGGCAGAAGCCGGGCGTGGCCTGGCAGGGGGAGCCGCCCGCTCCTCCTCTCCGCTCCCCGCCGGCCGCCGGCCCTTCCGGGTTTCCTTTAATCCGCTTCCTCCTTCTCGGGCCTCTTCCTCGAAGGGGTCCAGGCCGGGCTTCTGACCCCAAGCTTAGGGTGTCATCTCTGAACGGCAATCAAAGGAAGAAGACCGCGTGTGAGAATCACACGAATATCAAGGGGCAGGGCCCACCGTGCTCCCCGGGAGGCCCTGGGGCAAGGGCCGCGCCGGCCTGGAGTCCTCGCCCGCCGTCCCTTTGGGCCGGGGGCTGCTCGCCAAGCCCTCCTACCCCGCCGGTTTCCCTTTTCCCGAGGAGGAGGGCGTCGGGTCACGGGGTGCCCGAAAGGCGGGCGCGGCAGCGGGGTGCGGCGAAGAAACGGGGAGGCTCCCCCGGCGGAGGGAGTAGGGAGTTTTTTTGTTTTTTGCTTTTTTGCTTTTTGCTTTTTGCTTTTTGCTTTCCTCAAACGCTGAGTGAGTGCGTTTTAAAAATTCTTCCACAGTCTCTCCTCTGCACACCCGTTTTCCTTGCCGTCCCAGCCCCCACCGAGTGAAAGTCCAGGGGTGGAGAGGGTCGGTTCTCCTTTCCTTTGGCCACCGCCCCACCCGGGACAAAGCTTCCTTGCCGGCGCTGGGCCCTCTCAGGACCCATCTCCGAAGTCGCCTGGAGCTCTACGGATTCTCTAATTCCATTTCTGTAATTTGATATGTGGGTTTCTCTTGCCTTGGAGAATTACTTACGGGGCAGGAAATGCAGAGGCTTTAATTTTCTCCTTGTGGCTGAATTTTCTCCTTGTGGCTGAAAGCAACATTTTTTCAAGAGGAAAAAAATACAGTCCAAATTACAATAAAAACTCTCACGGGGTTTGGGTGGGGCCAAACCAGAAAAGCTCTTTGAAGCAGGAAAATCAAAACGATCTGAATTCTGAAGGTGACAGAAACCATCTGTGGCGGTAGAAAAAGGCCACCGAGCCAGCCTCTCGGCTGGAACCTTTACCCCTCTTCCTCTGTCCGCCGAGCTCTCCCAGCCAACCCTCTCTCAGCTGGCCCGCTAGTGAGACCGTAGTGACTGTGAGATTCTAGTCCTGATAAGAGGAGCCTGTTGTGCAAGTATTTCTGTTGCAAGGCTCTGGTATTTCGGTTTCCCAAGCCTTGAACTTACCAGCACTTTTCTTAAGAATAAGTTCCTTTGGCGGGGTGGACTCCCCAACATTGTGGTTGTTGAAAAGGCCCCACTTCTAGAGCTCTAAATGCTTCACAATCTCCTGGGCGCAGCATCCGGCTTGGCTGTTAAATCAGCGAGGGGACAGGGAGAGGCCACAGTGGGGCTGGAGGCCAGCGCAGTGCACGTTGGCCCTTAGCGTGTGCTAATCACAGGGCCCGAAAGCCTTCAGCTCTGGGCCCAGGAAGTCTATCATAAAGACAAAGTACGGGCTAAAACCGTGACCATCCGAACAGAAATCATTGTTAACACCGAGGCAGAAAGCCTCGGAGGAAGGGTGTGGTCCGCGGGTTCCCAGGAAGCCGGCTCTTACCCAGCAGGGGGAGCCATCAACATCGCGTCTGGGCCCCAGATCCCTGCCGTGGAAGCGTTCTGTGAGGAAAGCAGAGTCCAGCACAGGGTTTGAACCTTCCGGTAGGGCCACAGCTGTGGCTCGGCTCTCACAGAAGTTCCACTTGCCATTCCTACGGGAATTAGTGGCTCCTGGAAGTGGAAGGTGAAAGGCCAAGGTCTGCAGAGAGGGACCTGGAGGGGACGATACTGCCGTGCTGGTTGCCTCCTCCTGCCTCTGCGGCTTCATAGTAAATCAGTGAAATAGGAAATCATGCATTCCCAAAATATCAGTAACCTTTCCTCTCCTCTTCCGCTTTCACTCATGTGCCCTTACTGTGTTTCACCTGGAATAAGAGGAAGGATGAGGAAGAAGCTCACAGAATGTGACTTACGGTCGCCTTGGACCCCTGCATGCCCTGAAAAGTGACCCAGTTGTTTAGGAAGCCACTTTCATCCGGAACAGGGAGATGGCTGCTCTGCAGTATTCAGCCTTTCTTAGCGAGTCCCTGCCTGAGCTCTGCATTTCTTCTCTCCAAAGGCAAAAATGTCCAAGCCTACAGAGACTGAGAGGTGCATTGAGTCCCTGATCGCTGTCTTCCAGAAGTACGCCGGGAGGGATGGGAACAGCAGCAAACTCTCCAAGACGGAGTTCCTAACGTTCATGAATGTAGAACTGGCTGCCTTCACCAAGGTATGGCTCTGGCCACACGCCCCGAATGCCCATTGTGAAACAAGACTAGCAGAAGGGCAGGGCATGGAGCGCTGGCAGCTGGCTCCCCATCTCCGGCCTCCACCTCACTCCCTCCAGGCAGGATGTCCGTGTGGCGGCCACGCTGAGCCTCTGGGCCTCAGGGTGAGCCCCATGTGACCACTACAGAGCCTTTTCTCTGAAGCAAGATATGTTTATACATAGTATGCAGACTGCCTAACAGAGAATGGTCTTATTTTCTCCAGGTATGGGAGAGGTGTACGAAACAGTACATGGTACAATAAAATCATTTTCAAATTTTATTCCTCCACTCCAAAAGCTGTAAGGCAGTCCTGTCTGCTGAGGCTCTGTGCAGTGGGGACCATGGTCCGTACCTGCTCTACACGTCACGCCCACCCCACGGCCTGCTCTGGCTCTCCAACTCCCTGTGTCTCCAGTGGCTGTAAAAGGGTCCGGCATTGGGGGCTCCAATGAGTGGGGGATGCGGCCGACTGGGCAAGGACTACACCCTCTTTCTACCCGAAATCACCTCACTTGTACATGGTTTATCTATTGGAATCACATGCGACACTCGAAAGAAATATTCTACCGCTTTTGCGAAGTTGAATAACGAACGCCCAGTGTCACAGAAGGAACCCTGGGCCAGGAGTAGGAAAGCCTCAGTTTAAGCCCAGCTCTGGCCCCCAGGCAGCTGCCTCTCCTCTTTGGGTTTGTTTCAAATGTGAAAAGTCGGGATATTACTCACCGCTTCCTGTGCCTTCCTCCAGGGAGAATAAGTGTGGCGGCACATTTCAAAGTGCCTCAGAAGTGCAGTTCGTAAAGGTCCTATTATTGTCTTTGCAGAACCAGAAGGACCCTGGCGTCCTTGACCGCATGATGAAGAAGCTGGACCTCAACAGTGATGGGCAGCTGGATTTCCAGGAATTTCTTAACCTCATCGGCGGCTTAGCCCTAGCTTGCCACGACTCCTTCCTGGCGGCCCAGAAGCGTCCCTGAGGCCCTTGGGCCTGGCCCCACACCGTCCCCGCCAGGTGCTTGGTTATCACCTGCTCCTCCAGCCCACACGGGCCCAGCCCACCGCCACCCCATGCAGTCCACTTCTGCCGGAAGTAATAAAAGCAAATCTTTGTTTTTTTAAAAAAAACATACACTGGAGAGTCAAAAAATTTGTGCAAGCGAGGGTGGAGCGGGGAGGAATGGAAGCTGTTGGCAGAAGCCTCTGTGTCTGCATACACAGTAAAGAAGGCCAGGAGGGCGCTGTCCTGAGCAGATGAGACTGTGCAGAGGGCCGAGGGACAGGAGCGAGGGAGAAGATGGGCCACTTCAGGAAGAGAGGAAGAGCTGCGCGTGCAGATATCCTCAGCTTAGGTTCGGTGTAAGACCGCGTCGGTCAGCTTAACCTTGATGTTACTTTTGCTTCGGTGTTTGGTTTTTTGAGATGGAGAAGCCCACGCTGGCCTCAAACTTGAGAAACTCCTGCCTCAGCCTCCTGAGTGTTGGGATGATAGGCACATGCCGCTGCACCTGGCTCAATATGCACTTTCATTTTGTTCTGAACCCTCTGATAAAGCAGCAGGGAAGTCGCCTAGAGAGATGAGGCAGAGGAGCCAGGATGCAGATAACAGAATAGAAGAGAAAGGCAGATATAAGCCGATTTTTTTTTTTTACCAGTGTGCTATCACCCCTGGAAACATGGGAGAAACATGATGCGTTTGCATGTAAACCCTGGCTTCTTGCCCATCTATGTGAGATTTAACTAGCAAAACTATCAGCATCATGGTTTATTCCTGCATAAAAGTGGAATAGGTCAGACCATCTCAGAGCTACATTTTGACCCTGACCCTCCAACAAGGCCAATGCCTCAGGCTAGCAAGTCCCTAATTTTCCAGGTAGAATGGTAGCTTTTTGATACCTGAGTTCCTTAATTCACTAAGCACAAGAAGAGGGGAAAAGCCATAGCTAATAAAACCCTCCCCATTCCCTTGGCAAGTGTATGTTGTGTGGAAAAACAGTGTTATCTCAAAGGATGCCAGGGAAGAGATGGAAAAATACCAGGCATCCAAGGTTATACCGGTTATAGGGTTTGTGTTGGTTACTTTTCTCTCATTGCTGAGACAACATACCGGACACCCAAGATTAAAGGGGAGAGGGTTTATTCAACTCGCAGTCTGTAGAGGTTTCAGCCCGTCATCAGGTGGCTCCAAGGCAGGGTGGCCCATGGTCAAGGAGTGAGGCGGCGGAGAAACAGTTTGCAGCACCCACATGGTAACAAAACAAGGGGCCCTAACTGCATCTTTCTGCCCCTTTTATCCAGACTACTGGGATCAGGGCAGTGCCAAACCAATCTGTACCGGTTTAGTAACCACACACCCTGAATCCCAGCATCACACACTGCAGATTCAGCCACCTCTAAAGAAGCCACTATGACTGCACGAGGCTTTGGGGGGACATCTAGACACAAACCGTAACAGAGTTATACTATTTGCTTCTCCACCAAGAAATCACTGGCCCTTATTTGAAGACATCAGGATTCAAGAGATTAACGGAGACATCTTTACTTCTTGGTGCCCTCGAGTTCTGACAAAAACTAAGATCCAAACAGGCAACGACGGCACATTCCTGTACTTCAGCGATTCAAGAGGCTGAGGCAGGAGGATCACAAGCTTGAGGTCAGCCTGGGGTAAATGTATAGCAAGAGCCTTTCTGGAGGGGGGGGGCAGTGGTGACAACAGGAAGTGAAGGGGGAGGAGTGCCAATCAAGACCAAGCTTCTAACTCAAGATTCAAGGTTCAAACAGCTAAGCCCTGTGGACTTCCTCCTATAAGGAAGGCGAGGGGAGAGACGCCGGAAGGGGATGAGTTCACCACTGAGGGTGCTTTGTGTTGGAGGCACTACTGGGCGGTCCAGTTGGCAGTGGCCAGGAGGCATTTGTCATCCGAGTCGACAGAGAACACTCAGCTGGAGAGGCAGAGGCAGAAGGACCTGGGGGCCAACAAGGAGACTTAGCAAAGGAGAGAGTTCTGACATCATGGAAATGAACCAGTTACAGAGATGCCTTCCCAGACCCCTAGGTCCTACCTTCCTCCTGCCCATCACTTGCTTAACTTTTCAAAGAAGGACACTTCCTGTGCTGTCTTTACTTTCTCATTTGCAACCCCTCCCCGTCCTCCAAAATGATTTTGATGCAGCCAATCCGTGGACCATACTTCAGGAAGTTCTTCTCTGCTCGTTCCCCCAGGGAACCGGCAAACTCATGGCTCTGTTACACTTTTAATCCCCGGCTCAAATCTCCACAATTCCCAGCTCTTCCGTTTAACTTAGCATCTCTGTGGGTGTCCCACAGCTAGGATTCTTCTTGCTGCAAGTGAAAGAATATTCTATTTTAATTGCTTTAAGCAAAAGCAGGGACTTATGGAGTCCGGGAACTGAACAATCCAGGGATGGCTTTAGCTTTCTCACAGCTCCAGCAACTGGTGTCTTTCTGTAAATTCCTTGGCTCTGTTTCTTCAGCCTTGGCTGCATTCTCAGTCCTCTTCCCTTAACTTGGTGTTCAACATTTCTGGGGCTACAACCAGCACTCAGATTAGAATTCACTGGGAAAGCAGGGAAAGGAAGGCCCTCTGTCACTGCATTTTCAGCAACGGTACTGAGATTCTTAGAGCATGTGACCCCAGGCCAATCATAGTATCCAGAGGAATGCAGGGCACTGCACTGAGTAACCCAGGCCTGACCTGTGTTCTTGGCTCTCAGTCCAGGCATTGTCTTAGAACCGGGTAGCCTGTACCTAAACTACGAGAAGCCAGAGTTAGGAAGAGCAGATTATGTGCCATTGCAGAAAGAAAGCATAACGGTGCTGGAAACACAAGGAACAAACACACGCAGAACACATCCTTCAAACACCACAAACACGTTTCAAAGTGGACTACGTCTTTCTCCCAGAACCTGACCTTACTTCAGTCCCAATTTGTGTGGATTGCGTCATGATCATCTACCCAACTGTCCAAACTAGGAGCGATTCTAGGCTTTTCTTTCTTACTGCCGACGTCCAAATGGCGATTAGGTCTTGGTACAGTCATCCCTTCCTTTCCACCTTCACTGCCTTATTTAAGGCTCTTCACTGACCTTCTGTATGATTTGGGGTTCACTAGAGGCACAGACGTAACATGAATATGGATGGTTCTATAAAGGATTTACTCCGTTGGCTCACAGTGACCACCTGCAGAGCCGGGCGGAAGGGTGTAAATGGGCCACCCCTGTGCTGGAGTCCAGGGGCGCGGCTCAGAGGTCAAAGGCCTGGAGCTCACTGGACAGTCCGAGCATTCATGTGGGAAGGCACAGGACCTGAGGCCAGTGTCCAAAGGCAACGGTGAAGACTGGAGCTCCTCCAAAGAAGCAAAGGCAAGACTTCCTTGCTTGCCTTTTTATTCCATCCAGGCTACAAGCCTGTTGGTTGGTGCCACCCACACCTGGGTTGGTCTTCCCTTCTCAGTTTTGCCCAAGTGTCGATAACCCACAGATACACCCAGAACTGCGCTGCACGAATTCACTAGGCAGTTCAGGCTGATTTCTGGCTGAGGCTGGAAATGGGGTTTTTGAGCCTGTAACAGTCCATGTGCCCACTGCTGGCTTGAACTCAGCACCCTCATCAAGACACCAGGAGCCACTAGACAGAGCCAGCCTGCAGCTGTTCTGAGTTCTGAGCTCAGCTGGCCGCTCTGTTGCTGGCCGCTCTCGTGCTGGCCATCACCCTCTCCTGGGTGATGTCTGAACCTGAATAACTCACCAGCTGCTGTGTCCACTGTTCCGTTCTGCTAGTGCATTTCTCTGTGGAGGCCTCTGAGGTTGCTGGTAGTCACCATGCATCTGCAGGTTTCACACACCCTTCCCATGCAGTGAGTCCAGGCTCTGCGAGAAAATGCTGCTTGCTATTTCCCTGCTCTTCATTAAAGTCTCTCTCTTCACTCTCCCCGTGGACTTCAGTTCTTGCTTCAGATCCTTCCTGGGTCCCGGGGGACCCACTTCCCTCTTTCCCGTCCTCCTCACACCCATATATTCTAGTGTCGGGAGACCAAATCTCAAGAGGCCCTTTCTCTGCTGCTCATCATTGCACTGATTTGTGTGTGTCGAACCATCCCTGCATCTCTGGGATGACTCCTGCTTAGGCATAGTGTATAACCTTCTGCATCCTGTTTGCAAGTATCTTATTGGGGATTTTTGCATCTATGTTTATTAGACAGATTGGCCTGTAGTTCTCTTTTTTGGTTGGATCCTTCTCTGGCTTTGGTATCAGAGTAATACTTGCTCCAGGAATGAATTTTGGAATAATACTTTCCTTTCAATTTCATTAAGAAATAGCAGCATTTGGTCTTTTCTAAATTTCTTATAGAATTTAGCAGTGAATCCATCAGGGCCTGAGCTGCTTCTTGTCGGTAAGTTTTTAATTACATCTTCAATTTCAGTGACTGATATTGGTTTAAAAGTTTTATATTTTCTTGATTCAGTTTTGGTAATTCATATGTATCTAGGAATCTGTCTATTTCTTCTGTGTTTTGTATCTTATTAGAATATAGGTTCTTGAAGTAGGTATTGATGATCTTCTGGATTTCTGCAGGATCTGTTGATTTTATCCTTTTCATTCCTAATTGCATGAATTTGAGTCTTTCCTTCTTTTGATAAGGATGGCTAAGGGTCTGTCAATTTTATTTAATCTTTCAAATAACCAACTCTTTGATTCACTGATTCATTGTATTGTTTTCTTGGACTCAACTGTATTAACTTCTGCTCTGTTCTTTATAATTTTCTCCCCCAAACAAAATTTGGGCTTGGCTTGTTCTTCTTTTTCTAGAGTTTAAAATTCAACATTAGGTTGCTTCTTTTTTTTTTTTTTTTTTTTTTT